TTTGTCCCATTTTGAATGCATGGAGACCGAAGATGGGAATTCAGCCCGTTACTTTCACCTTTATGTGTTTTCCAGAATGAACTTATGCTTACAGAGGAAATAAATATTACTAAATTTTCCTGTGAATCAGATTTGCTTGATCAGAGGCTGAATTCACATACTTGTGGAATGTGGCCAAGAGTAAAGCCATGTATCTCTGGTTTCTGATCTTCATGACCAATCATCAGTTTTCTCTTCCTTATTTTGCAGTGATGCGATAGGCAGTGGGAGACAGAGACTGGACAAAATAAAACTTAGTATGCTGACTCAAATTTATATCTGAGAAGAAGCACCAGGGCTCATGCAATCTGCCTGGCTAGTCCTTGATTGTTTTCTCTCCTGTCAGGAACATGATTGTGCCAGTTAGGCTTCAAGTAATAGAAAAGCAAACTACAAGTAGCATGAACAATCAAGGGCTTATTTCTCTTATACTGAGGTGCCTGGAGGTTGGTGATGCTGGCATTTATCAGTGATGTTGGAGTGGCTGTCTGTGCCTTGCTTTACAGATGCAGACTAGCTTGCATTGCTCTAGGCAGGAAAAAGAAATGGGGGCAGTAAGAGAAACTAACCCCCAAGTCACCTTACCTTCATGTATCCCTCATTGGCCAGAGTAACCCTCAGATTTTCCTTCCTCATGTGAACTTTTGGTATCGTCTTATTTGAAAAATGACTTTCTTTCCTGAAAGCATGAAGGTGGCTCCATCTGTTCTTCTGGAAGTTGTAAGGTTTGTCTTGCTCACCCAGGTCTTCTTCTTTTCTTTCTTTCTTTCTTTTTGTCAGTTGTGGGGCTTGAACTCTGGGCCTGGGCGCTGTCCATCAGCTCTTCAGCTCAAGGTGAGTGTTCCACCACTTGAGCCACAGCACCACTTCCAGTTTTCTAGTGGTTTATTGGAGATCAGAGTCTCATGGACTTTACTGCCCGGGCTTTGAACTGTGATCCTCAGATCTCAGCCTCCTGAGTAGCTAGGATTACAGGCATGAGCCACCGGCGCCCGGCTCACCCATGTCTTTCATCTATGCAGTATTTTTTGTTTAGTTGTTTCCTTTAGTGTATCTTGGTCAGGCCAGTTGCTTCTCCTTTCTCACCCCTAGGTGAGAATTTGACATCTCTAAGTGTCAAATTTCATTTTCTCTCTTTGATAGCAAGCTTCTCTTCAGTAAGTGTGGTTGTATCTGAGTTTTGTCTTGGGCATCAAACTGACCTGAAAGAGAAGTTTAGCATTTGCTTCCATACATCCTCTCTCTTTGGGTCCTGGCCACGCTGACATGAGCACTGGGCAGCTGGGTAGTGGAGTCTCCTGTGTGCTTTCCGCCATGATGTTTTTGCCTTGCTACAGGCCCCAAAGCACAAAAGCCAACTGAAGGCTCTGGAACCTGAGCCAAAATAAATCTTTTCTTCTGTTAAGTGTCTTATCTCAAGTGGCGGCAAGCACTCTCTGCTGGACAGTTTCTGGACAGGGTTCTTCTAAGAGTACATCTATACACCTCCCTCCACCCATTCCTTCTGCCTGTTTCTGCTGGAATCTCATTATAGGCCCAGTCTTTCAGAATGAGTCAAGTACAAAGACAGTCCCCAAGGCATTTGTTTTCTTTTGGCAGGGGTTGGTTTATATGGAAATGTTAGACTTTTCCCCTTTACAGAATTGAATATTTTGTCTAATTCCCACCCTCTCTCTTTACCCTAGCAATGTGGTCTGTGTCAGGAAGCAAGTACCTGTCTCCACTTCACTCTACCCTCTTCCTGTCCCTGACTGCCGCCCAGAGCTAAAGAATGCCAGGATCTTTTTTTTTTTTTTTTTTAAAGAACCCTTCAGGTGAAGGATGCAGTAGCCCCGCTTCAGCATCCTTTGTATCAGTCCTGAGTTATTCCACTGTTATTTTGTCACCCTTTTTCTTAGCTTTGAACATCATTAGAAATTCTGAGACAACCATAAATATCCCAGTTTATCATTTTGATAAACATTTCCATGCACTTTGACTGGGAATCAGAGTAGTCAACAGCCAAAAGCCCAGAGTTTCATAAATTAACTTGCCATCAATCATTCATGCTTGGCATAAATGCTGAATTTTATTTTTTTTCTGAATTTTATTTTCTATTTACTAGACTCATAAGGAAAGGAATAAGACCAGGATTAGGATTTTTTTTTTTTATCTAATGTCATAAGAGAAGATGTGGGTAAGATCCCGCAGTGTCATGTATTTGAAATGCATCTTAAAAAGGGACGAGGCTTACTTATTTAACTCCAGAACACAGCACAGGCGCAGTACACCAGAACTACACGGTGGTGTGCATTTCATGCCTCAATGAAGTAGAACTTCATACTATTTTGAGCCATTCAGCAATAGAAATAGTTGCTTTTACTATGTTTACAGTTTTGACTTGTTTAACTTTCTTTACTTTTGAAAATCTTGTGTGTGTGTGCATGCTGGTCCTAGACTTAAGCACAGAGCCTGAGTACCTGTCCCTGAACTTTTTTGCTCTCAAGTCTACTGCCCTATCAGTTAAGCCACAGCTCCACCTCTGGCTTTGTGGTGGTTAATTATTGGATAAGAGTTTCACAGACTTTTCTTACCCAGTCTGGCTTTAAACCACAGTCCTCAGATCTCAACCTCCTGCGTAGCAAAGACTACAGGCCTGAGTCACCTATGCACAGCTGTTTTTTTTTCCCCAGTCTTGGGTGTTGATCTCAGGGCATGGGTGTGGTCCTTGACTTTTTTCACTCAAGGATAGAGCTCTATTACTTGAGTTAGTCATAGCTCCACTCCCAGTTTTCTGGACTTAATTGGAGATATGAGTCTCATGGACTTTCCTGCCTGGGCTGGCTTTCAGCTGAGATACTCAGATCTCAACCTCCTTAGTAGCTAGGATTACAGGCCTGAGCCACCAGCGCCCACTTCTGGCTATTTTGTTTTTGATTACCTTTATATCAAGTAGGTTATGAAGAAACTGATACATTATTATTAAACTTGCTCAATATCTCCAAATAAATAATGGGGTTAGTTTGCTGCTGTCAAGCCCAAGAGCCTTGATTCTCTGTCTGAATTCACTCAGAATCATAATCATCCATTTCACCAAAAACTGTCTGTCTGCTGCATGAGAGGATAGAACTGAGCTGAGAGAATTCCAACCCGTCACCACTCTCAGGAAACAAGCAAGCATGAGTTGACCTGCAGTGTCTTTGGTACTGAAACTAAACTCTCTCACTACCAGAACCTGCACTGTGTCAGGAGGTGCAGAGGGACAGTCCACTCCCATAAAAGACAGTGCTTAGAGTTGGACTAAGGGAAGGAACAGGACAGAGTGCAGGTGTGACCATTTGGCTTCAGGAGTAGCAGTTAATAGGTAACTTTTCTTTGACTTCTGTATCTATTAGTATATGGTTTGTGAGATGCACCAAAGGCAATGAATTTGGAGGGGAGTAGCTCAGAGGGAAGGCCTCATTCCTCTACTAAAAAGAAGAATGTATCCATTTTGAGCACAAAGTAGAGACCTATAAAGACTGTTGGGAAGAAAGTGCATTTTTTTTAAAGGAAGAAAGGCATCCCTGTTGATCTCTCCACAGCTCATTTAGTAGTTCTGCCCTTTCATTCCCCCTCCACCTCACATACAACTTTCCTAAAAGCATCCACTATGAAATTCCAGGAAGATGTATTAAATATGTTGCTATAGTTTACAGTTGTCATCTGTAATGTTTTATTTAGCTGAGTCCTTTTCTCCCACCTTTCCCAGTACCACACAGAACACCAGATGCCATCGTCCCTGTTGGAAAGCAAAGGTTTCCCTGGTCTGTGCCTGTGCTTGTGTTTATGCCACACAGGAGCTGTGGTCCAGTGCCATCTTTTATTGATAGGGCCAGCAAAGGAGAAATCTAATGAAATTATCAGAGCTTTGAATTAATGATGAACTGGAAGAGGAGAGCCAAGCTCTCTGGAGCCAGGGATCTCATTACCCATTCACTCTCATTACTACATCCTCTTCTGAGCAGAAGGCTGTTCTGCTACAGCTCTTCGCCTGGCTTGGACTTTATTCAAACTTGCGAAACTGACATCCTCCTTACTACCACAGCATGGCTTCTCATGTGCATGACTAATTTAATTCTGCTCTGGATTTGCTGAAGATGGAAATATGGGTTCTCTACTCCTGCTTTTGGCGTTTCTTTCTTCTCTTTTTGTTCTTCTCCCTCTCATTTCTTTCATCAAATTGGATGTGGTACATTTTTTTTTCTCTGTTTTTGGGTACTATGAGAAGCTGTCAGGACTGTGGCGGTCATGGAATGTGGTGATTGATTTAAAGTGCACAGCTGTAATACATCTGCTATGTGTTTTCATCGATAGTTAGGTAAGCACAAAGTCAAATATTCCTTTTGTTATTTTATTTCATTTTTGAGTATCAGATGGAAGCTGCACTTGCTGGCTACTACCTTAGAAGCACTGGTATGGCGATAGGTCTTCTGATCCTAACTGCTTGGTTAGATTGCTAACACATGTTGTATGGGAACCACCGATCTCACCTGGTTAGAGTTCCCAGAACTTACGCTCGCTGATGGGGAGCAATTCATGTTGTCTGGCAATTCTCTTTTTCTTCCTCTCAATCATATGAATTTTTTTTTTTTGGTGAATAAATCAACCTCTGATTGTTCTAGGTCTAGCAGCAAAATCAATACCAACAAGGTTTTGATTTACTGTTGGTGATGATTCTTTGGGGCCTGTCAGACAGAACCTCTTGGCAAAGCCTTCTGCCTGCACGGGAGACCTGTTATTTATGAATTCCTAGGCTGCACCTCATCTATTCTAGTAAACTCCAGGCCACTGGCAATTTCTGTAAAGCAGTGACTAACTTTTCTCTGTAAGGCTGGTGTTTTAAGGTTTTTGAATAGTGGGGGAAGGGAGAATGAGAACCTTTGCTCTTCCTTTGCTTATTTACTTTCAGTGAGTTTTTCCTCCATTTATTTTCTCTCTAGGCAGCTGCGATATTTAATTCAGCCTTTGGAAGTTTTTTGGTAAGTAACGATCATTTACCTTTGTCCATTCTAACTTTTGTTGTGATATTTGGATGCAAGAGTTTATAAAAGTTCTTGCTTTTTTTTTTTTTAACTCTTTGGTTAAATGTAAAAGTTTCTGAATCCTTTCATGTGTCTGGAATCACATCTTTTGGGATACTGGCTAATGAGTACAGCAAATGTTCAAATGTTCTCTTATATAGTTTAGAGGCTTGGGTTTAATATTCCATTTAATGGATTCGAACAATCAATTAAAACACTATGCGTCTCCTTATAGAGGTTTTGTCAATATATTGATCCTTTAATGAGGTCTTTTAGATTATTATTATTTTGTATCATGGGACTAGGGATTTGAAAAAGTAACCTGACCCAGATGTCCACAAAGGGCACCTAATGTTCATGTTGACATGTCATTTATTTTGTACAATTCACTGTCAGAGAAGCTACTTTTATACCAGTAAGAGTTCTTTAGAAAAAAAAAAACAACAAAACACAACATTGCTCTAAGAATAATTAATGAGTAATTTGCAAGAAAACGCCGTGTTTTTAGAAGTGTCCATTATAAATTATATGTAAACAGATTTAAAAGCAGTTCATCCTTTAAAAGCAGAACCAATATAAGGATGTTAGTTTTTAATCATCACTTTTATATAGATGTGATATCACAAATACATGATTTGTGTTTTGAGTGAGAAAGGAACTCTTTCCTATTAATATAGTTTTTATCCTACAAGTTGGCTAAATTCATGAAAATAAATTAGAATATTATATTTTTTGACATGTAACTCATTGAGTGATAGGTAATTTAGTGATTTATGGATGAGAATAAAGCCAGTGGGGTACAAACTTGTTCATGTATACATAAAATATCAATTATGTGTGCTTAAAATGTTCTTTATATTGTCCCTTATTACTGTATTATATGTACTTAATTGTAGTTAAGGCTTTAAACATACCATTACTCAGTGTTAATTCTGCCAAGTGCTACACAGCTTTTCATGGTTGTTGCCTTATAGGACTTTTAATGATGTAGCTTCCTGTAAAATATATGACTAGAGTATGTCCTGGGTTTAAAGAGGCTGTGGTTTTTTTCTTTTTGGTTTAGAAGAGAAGTATTAAAATCTATTTTAAAATAATTTCTCAGGTTACTTAGTTTAGATTCTTAATACTTTGTTCAGTCACTGTGTCACAAGTTCCAGGATTATTCTTAAATTGCCCTAATAGTTTAACAGACTAATAGTTTGATTCTGCTAGAAGTCAGTTCTTTATACAGTTTGGAATCATATGTAAATACTACAAAGCATGACTTTTTCAGTTGAGTCTCTTACTCTTGAAAATACCAGTGGTAACTGAGAAAACAAAACTGAGATAATTATCCAAGAGACTGAAACAAAATACAAGCTCTTCTTCATTGGAGAACTGCCTCACTGAAGGGAGTTTGAATTTGTTCTGATTGTTGAAGACTCTCATGATCTTTGCCTAGCAGGCCCAGTGGTCGCTGGCGCTGGAACCCAGTCCCTTGCTAGTCAGGTGCTAGTCAAGTGCTCTGTCACAGATGTATACCCCTAGTCCAATCTAGGGGTTCTTCCACATTTTTTGGTGCCTCCCCCTTTTTTTTAAATTTAATTTTATTGTAAAGGTGATATACAGAGCAGTTACCGTTACACAGTAAGGTAATGAGTACATTTCTTATCGAACATTGTTACCCCTTCCCTTGTTTTTTTCCCACACTCCCTCCCTGCCACCTCCCCTTCTTAATTGTGCATTCTTCTGTTTTGTCTTCTGCTCTCTTTTCCTTTCTGGTTTTCCTTAGTTCAGTTAATCAATCGAAAGTACTCACTAACCTCCTGCGTCACATAGTTTTATAGTTTCTATGAAGGGTACAGAGAAATGGGAGGTAGTCCCACTGGTCCATGGAAGTGACCTACAGCAGGAGAAATAGAAGGCAACATTAACAAACTCTCTTCTAGGGTGATCGTATCCATCACATCCCCTGGTCTGACAGAAGGGACTTCTGAGCTGGGCCCTGGTGCATGAAGGGCTTAGGCAGCAGTAGGGACCAGGGAGGAACAGCATGAACAGTGACAGAGGGGCACAGGTATCCTTTCCCATTTCCCTTTCCAGTTCTCCCCCACACCGCCTTTGTTCTTCCCTAGAGTTGAAAATTACCAAAGAGAGTTTATGACTGAAAACTATGACCAGACGTGTTTTGCTCCGATCAAACATGTTTTGCCCCAGTGATGTAAAAACAATTTCTATTTCTGATCTTTCCTTTTCAACATTGATACCACAACTGTTGGGTTGTGAATTATCTTTGGCTCTGAACTGTACCATTAAGAATTAGATTCAGATTCTATAACAGAACCCCCCCACACACACAAGTAATAGTCACTTATACAAGAAAAAAAGTTTATTTTTCCGTTACAGACAATCCAAATGGAGGCTGACCAAGTATGTAGTGACTTGATGGTCTCGAATGGGCAGAGATTTCTGTCTCTTTTGCTACCATCCATAGAATCCAGCTCCCTTCCTCAAGTTAACCTCCTGGTCCAAGATAGCTGCTGGAACTCCAGCAAAACATTTAGATAGCAAAGTATTGGGGGAAGAATAGAAGCACTCCCTAAAAGCTAAACCTGTTTTTTTTAAGTCTCATTTTTGGAATTCCAGGAGCACACTTACACTAATATAGAATGTAGTCAGATGATCACATGTAGCCACTGAAAAGATTAGGAAATGTTGATATTTGCCAGAGCTAGAAACAAGATTTCTGTTACTACAGAAGAAGAGATGGACAGCTAGCACTTTCTGCAGATGAGGGGTGTATAACTGTCTTGAAGTATTTGAAGGAAGAATAAATAATCTCCGCGGAGTGAGATGGTATGAAAGCTTGGGAACAGTTGTGATTGAGTTTGAATTAGACAAGGCCTTCTTTTACAGAAAGGAAATTCTAAATTACAAATCTTGATTTTGTTATTCCCGAGGCATGGTGTTATAGTTTTTCATGAATCTTTAAATTGAAGAACATAAGGATAAATAAAATGTGTTCTTAATGTTTATAGCTATGTATCATAGTATGGTTTTTTTGGAGTCGGAGTATCTGGGTTTCAGTCTTTTATTAAATATCATTCTAACAAGAGAGCCATTGTGAATAAGAAATAAAATAATGATAGTCTCTAAACTATAGAACTGTGATGAAGATTAATTGGGACAACCTATTGCAAATGCTTATATGATGTGGGAGAGTCAGCGTTCAGCTAAAGTCTAGATCTAGTTAGTCCAAGCTCTGCAGGGTTTTGTTTTTGTTTTTTTTTTTTAATATGTAACTGTGGACATCCATTAAAGGAAAAAAAATCTGATTCAGGCTTAGCAACTAAAGTATGCTGATTCAGTGCTTATTCTCTATGAGTGACCATTCTTTTTGTATCTACATAATACAAAAAGGGCACTTGTTCCAGATTACTGTAAAACTGTAAATGAAAGGTTTTGTTAGAGATGAAAGGTTCTTTTGGACGAAGAACTCTGAGAGCATTTTTACTGATGTTCAGGTATATGGCTTCACTAACTATGAACTGTACATATTATAGCCAGATGAGTAATGTCCCAAGCCTAATTAAAACTCAGCTATTTTAAGAAGTAATTGTTGCAGAAAACTTTATTTTTTTGTCGGTCGTGGGGCTTGAACTTTGGGCTTGGGCGCTGTTCCTCAGCTCTTCAGCTCAAGGCGAGCACTCTACTGCTTGAGCCACAGCGCCATTATTGCAGAAAACTTTAAAAAAATGTAGCTGGACTGGTAATGATAGATGAATTCAATTTAAATAAATTCCAAACGAAGAGAATATTTGAAAATCATACTACAGAGGAGGGCTTTAAGTTAAAAGTTAATGTCATTATCCTCTTCACATTTAAATTGGTTAGCTTATAGTAATTGTGGAATACATTGGTGATTTGAGATTTCCTTCTTGATGAAGTTTTAATAAATTTTGATGGCTAAATGCATCCTGAATAACTAAGATAATATCACAACTTATCTATATATGTGTCTATGTAAAATTATGCATTTCAGATTCATTCATTTTCTATATTATTTCCTGATTAGAAGTACAGCTCATTTTTTGGTAGATATTGGCAACCTTTTGAAAAATCCCAGTTGAAATTTTCTTTATTTCAACAGATTCAACTGTATTGAAAAAAATTCTCCAAAATTAATTTAGACCACATGATTTTTTTTAGAACCTTAGCATTTTTTTATTTGGAGGCTGAATTTAAATATCTTTAAAGAATTACAGGTTAAGTTTAAAAGGTTAAAAAAATAGTTTTTCTTCTTAAATTTCCGAGCCCATTTTTAAATTATTGATAACTCCTAATATCCCATGGAAATCTTGATAAATGATAAAAGTTCATTTCCCAGTGAGGAACAATTCTTGGCAACATAAACTTAATAATTTCTGACGTAAAGACAGTTACAAGGAAGATAAACTTTGTGAATACATTTGAACAAGGAATGGGCAAAATGACTATGAGTCTCTGTGTATTTTCCAAATCTCTTCATACTGTCAAGAAAGATTTTCAAGCCCAGAGTTGGTGGCTTATGCCTGTAATCCTAGCTATTCAGGAGGTTGAGATCTAAGATCACAGTTTGAACCCAACCTGAGCAGAAATGTTCATGAAACTCTTACCTCCAGTTAACCAAAACAAACAAACAAACAACAAACCAGAAATAGAGCTGTGGTTCAGTTGGTAACACACCAGCTGTGGGCATAAAAGCTAAAGGACAGAACCCAGGCCCTGAGTTCAAACCCCAGTACAGGAACGAAAAACGAAGAACAGAACAACAAAAGCTTACCATTTAGAGAGAGCGTTGTACAAATTCCCAGAATCCTAGAGTTTGGCTATCTGAAGATGCTATTTGTATTACTACAATCTTTTCTATAGGATGTGTGTCCAGAAAAACATTCGGTGTGTTAGTGTGTGTGTGTGTGTGTGAATGAGTGGAGTTAAAT